GATGCGTGGCGCTGTGAAGCGGATTGCTCTGAGAGCGCAGCTGCGCGACATTGCTCCTTCAACTCATCCACTTGTGCCGCAAGGCTCTCGTTTTCGCCAGACAAAGCCGCCACGCGCTGATCATGAACGGTCTCCTGGGACTTGGCATGGTCAATCAGCTCCTGCAGGCTAGAGACCGTGCCGTGCAGCTGGTCTCTCTCCTGCTGCAGTGCATTGCGCTGCAGTTCTACGGCATCTCGGTCACTGTGAACGGCACTCAGCTGACGCGCATTCTCCTCTGCACTGCTCCTCTCCTGCTGCCGAGCACTGTCCAGCTGCCGCTGAAGATCTGCCAGCTGGTCGTTGTGTCCAGCCTCCAAAGATGCAATGCTCTGCTGCAGGCGACCCAGCTGTGACTCATACTCACGGGAGGCTTCGCTCTCTTTCGCAGTTTGCGCCGACTCAGCATCTTCCTCGAGCTGTTGGACCTGCGCTGCAAGCCGTGTATTCTGCTCCTTGACAAAGAGTAACTCGTGGCGTGCCGAGTCGCGGCTTGCTTGGCTTGACTCCTTTGCCTGTTTCAAACTGGTCATCGTCTCTTCCAGTTGAGTATTGTCTCTGCTTAGAACCACCAGCTGTTCCTTGGCATGGTGCAGTTCACTCTCCAGGCTTGACTGTCGCTGTTCGCTATCGCTGTGTAGAGAAGTAATTCTGGTCTCCACGTCGATGGCTACTCTGAGCGACTCTGCTTTGAGGGCGTCCAGGGAAGCCTGCAGTTGGTCTCGCTCCTGCTCGGCAGCAAGAGCCGCCGCCGCTAGTCTAGACTTTTCACTCACAAGTTCGTCTCGGTCTTCGCTGGCCGCAGCGTTGCTACTATGTAATTGCTTGATTTGAGTAGCAAACTCGTCTCTCTCCGCTTGCCATTGTCCCCGGAGCTGGCTCAGTTCTTCTTTGGCCGCCTCTGCGACAGCTGCGCGGACTGCGTTGTGTAGCTGAGTTTGATGGGCCTGTTCAGCAGCCACAGCACAGCACAGGACAACACAGGACAACACAGGACAACACAGGACAGCACAGGACAACACAGGACAATACAGGACAACACAGGACAACGCAGGACAGCACAGGACAACACAGGACAGCACAGGACAACACAGGACAATACAGGACAACACAGGACAACGCAGGACAGCACAGGACAGCACAGGACAACACAGGACAACACAGGACAACGCAGGACAGCACAGGACAGCACAGGACAGCACAGGACAACACAGGACAATACAGGACAACACAGGACAACGCAGGACAGCACAGGACAACGCAGGACAACACAGGACAGCACAGGACAACGCAGGACAGCACAGGACAGCACAGGACAGCACAGGACAGCACAGGACAACACAGGACAATACAGGACAACACAGGACAACGCAGGACAGCACAGGACAACGCAGGACAACACAGGACAGCACAGGACAACACAGGACAGCACAGGACAGCACAGGACAACACAGGACAGCACAGGACAACACAGGACAACACAGGACAATACAGGACAGCACAGGACAACACAGGACAGCACAGGACAACACAGGACAACACAGGACAATACAGGACAACACAGGACAGCACAGGACAACGCAGGACAACACAGGACAGCACAGGACAGCACAGGACAACACAGGACAATACAGGACAACGCAGGACAGCACAGGACAACGCAGGACAACACAGGACAATACAGGACAACACAGGACAGCACAGGACAGCACAGGACAACACAGGACAGCACAGGACAACACAGGACAACACAGGACAATACAGGACAGCACAGGACAACACAGGACAGCACAGGACAACACAGGACAACACAGGACAACACAGGACAACACAGGACAACACAGGACAGCACAGGACAACACAGGACAACACAGGACAACACAGGACAACACAGGACAGCACAGGACAGCACAGGACAGCACAGGACAACACAGGACAACACAGGACAGCACAGGACAGCACAGGACAGCACAGGACAACAGAAACAATCGACATGGGCAAATACATGTACAGTGAAACCTGTGACTAACGACCACCCCTTTAGGGCCAGAGAAAGCGGTCTTTAGTGGCAGGTGGCCCTTAGTTAGAGGTTTGCACCGCACAACCATAATAGGAATGTGAGACAGTCCGTGCCTGGCGAAGAGGTCTGTAGAACCAGGCTGGTCGCTAGCCACGGTGCTCTTTAGTTACAGGTTTTACTGTATCACAAGAAAACAAGAAATCCAACTGCACATCCTTTCTAGATTCGATTTCCGAGCACACGCCCTGAAAAGCTTCAATGAGCACATCAGAGTGCACCGCTGACGAGCCCTATCCTCAACACGCAACGTCCTCAATAGTGAGTATTACATGAACAACATGCGTACACAGTATGTACAATGGATCATGTACACAGTATGTACCATGGATCATGTACACAGTATGTACAGGTCGTCCCTCGTTAATACATTATCTCTGGGACTTGAGAAATGTTATGTATTAACGGGGTTTATGTACTAAACGAAAGTGTACATAACTTGCTTGTGTACCAGAAATTTTCACTTTTTCAACTTTTCTGAGTGTTTCTTGCTACCATGACAAGGGAGCGAGATATTCTTGATTCCCTCGATATAACATAAAAATTATGTTATAACGGTCACAGTTAGCGAAGATTCTACAGTTTACATGATACATGCCCAGGCGCGCCTGTACAGTCAGAGCTTTGTCGGTTAGTGATGTGCGCTCTGATTTCTGAGCTAATTGCGTCCACAACTAACTTGCACAAGTAGAAACTAGAACACGATGTGCCTCCACTGGAAGGCCAAAAGACCGACAAATTATGTACTATTGAGGTAGATGACATGCGGGTACGGAGAAATGTTATGTACTAACGGGGTTTATGTTCTAACGAATTATGTACTAACCGACAACATTTGTATGGAAGTGACCACGTTTCGTCCGGGACTTGAGATTTCTTATGTACTAACGGGGTTTATGTACTAACCGGACTCGTATTAACGGGGGACGACCTGTACCATGGATCATGTACACAGTATGTAGCATGGATCATGTACACAGTATGTACCGTGGATCATGTACACACATGTTGCAAGAGAAGCATGCAACTCCGCAAGTCCACGGGATGTACACCCACGGATCTTTTCTCACAGCATCGATAGCGGACAAGACCCGAATGAAACAGATCAAGGCGTGCACCAGGTGACTGCCTGCGCGTGTGCCCCCCCCCCCCCCCCCCACACACACACACACTGGCAATGTGTATGGGTACAGCGGATTATTACCTGGTGCAAGGCATCCAATTCAGCCTGATGTGCCTCGCTGTCGGTCTGCTGGCTCAGTCTTGCCCGCATGCATTCCTCGCGTAGCCGCTCGCACTCTTCGCCGGCAATCTGAAGCTTTAGTGTGACATCAGCTAACTCTGCCTGTACTTCTGGCCCAGAGCCAGGTTGGTGTGATGCAACGGCAGCAGCATGGCTACTAGCATCACTATCAGTGTACTGGACATGACCGGCAGTGGCAAAGTCAGCATAGCTAGATGAGCGAGAACTGTCAATACTCTGCTTGGCCAGTATATCACTGGCTCTGGACAGGAGGTCACCATCTTCACACCCACTACCAGCGCCCGCTCCCATCTCCTCGACGTTCTCCTCACCGAAATTCAGGATCTCGCTGTCGGCTGGAATGGGTGAGATGCTGTGTGACGTATTCAGCTGACTGTTGCCAAGATCACCCGATCCAGATGCACTCAGATCATGGCTTTCAGTGTTCTGCACGCCTCCACTAGCCGCGGACAAGATATTGTCCACTTCACCATCCTGACTAGCATTATGGGTCACACTGTCAACAGCGGACTGACTCAGCTCAGGCTCACCATGCCCGACCCTCGCCTGTGCAGTCGCTACGCTGCCGCTGTCCGTAGATTGATGATGCGATGCCTCGCTGCTAACATCACTGGCTGTTGCTGCTTCACTACCGCTCGCACCCGCAGACGCCGTGGCAGGCCTCTTCTTCTTTTTCTTGTCACGCTTCTCTCTAAATTTCTCTAGTCTCTGTTTACCGAGTTCCAACTTTCTGCTTCTCTCCGAGTCCGAATCCATGGCGCAATATCATGGTCCACTACTACACATAACTAATGATTCCAACATCGAGACCGCGTCATGAAGCGAGACATCGGTCGGGGAAGCTGTCGTTCTACAATGAATATTGAGAAACAATTTTCTCTCCGTCATGCCACAAAAACTCCTGCAGAGAAAATCAAAATCAAATCTCCTTGCAACGCCGCGCCGGCCGGGCGTCACAAAATTGAAAAATTTGGCGCCATTTCCAGCCACACATGTAGCTGCATGATTTTCAATGATTCATCTGTATAAGTACTGTAAAGAGTGCATTCACTTCATATCAGTGCCATTCACCTCCCCGCGTGATGTGACACATGACGGTTCATGTTTCATCAACCAGGTGTAGTCTTAATACTCCCTGGTTTCAATCAGGGAGTAGTACAATCTATATTGTACTACTCCCTGGTTTCCATCAACACCTAGTACAAAAGTACAATGTCATTATGATTAGGGTAAGATACCTACCTCCAAGGCTCCAGCGGTTATGTTGACATTCATAGTCATACTGGACTAGTCTACAGTACAAGTAGTTGTGAACATGTGCGAGAGCACAACAAAGTGACTTAGTTTCTTTTACAGTATTCCCTTCAACAATCCAACTACAGCGTCAGCACATTTCTTTTTCGCCCCACATCACACAGATACATGTGCGCACATGCACGCGTGCACACACACACACATCTCCCCAGCTCTTCACGCAGGCCACACTCGTACTCAGTCGCCGCAAACCATCATGAGAATAAGGAGTACTAACAAAACAGTGGTGGCTAGACCGGTAGGACTTGACACACTCATGCAATCATGGCCTCCGCACTCAATTAATACCAACAAGCCACCGCCAAGTCCACTGTGACTGTCCCCTATCTGGAACGCAGGACCAAAGTCGCAATCCAATTGCCAGCAGTGGTTGCAAAAAATAATGACATAATTATAATGGCTGCTGAAAAAGATGGGATACGTCAATTCAGAATGAGAAATGACCAAAACAGCTACCTGTATGTGAGTATGTACTGTATACGGGCGCCGGGCGCACATACATTACTAATATCAGTAACTTAGAAATACAAACAGAAAAAAAACAGCAACCGGCCGGCACTAGGATGGTATTTGTCTTTGTGTATGCTTTGCTCTAAATGCAGAGAGAAATAGCACAATAAGCAGCTACAATTTTTGTTCTCTGTAATTTGTATGTCTAATTTCATGTGGGTTTGATGAGCCTAGCATCCTACAATCTGGGACAAAGGATAGATCATGAGAATGCACGGGATGGCGGGATAGCAAAACAACTACAACAGGGGAAAGGATAGGGAAAGTAGACAGGACTCCAGTGTTCTTTGTCAAGGAGAAGGGTAAGAAAAGGATAAGCACGCAAAAAAAATCGGAAATAATTCAATACGTGTGTGAGTAAGCACACAACATTGATAGGTGAACATTATTTCTCTGTTGTAAATAAGAAATCAGAAAATGGTAGAATGTCGGGAATTAAAAACGAATAGCTAACTGCATTAGCATGTAATTGAATATGCAAATGGAATAGAAACAGCCGCTTTTCATTCTAATGCATGTCTCATACATGCAACGCCAAGACGTTATAATATCTCTGCACCAGTGCTGCTCGAGTTTGCCAGCGCGAGGTTGTGTACTTCACGTGCCGGACGCTATAATATGGACCAGCTCTATTGGAGAGTGGTCGTGAAACTGCAGCGTGAGGTGCAGCACACGCAGTGGCCTGCCAGCGTGGGATATCGAGTTGTTGGCAAAAGAGAGACCGCTGAGAGCAGCACCCCGTGCGCAGGATACAAAGGAGAGCACTATTGCACAGTGCGAGATCACCCGTTGTCTACTTGCCTACATTGTGTCACTACTCACGAGAACACAGTGATGACCTCACGACCGCCGCCGCGAACCAGAAGCACACGCTCTAGTCCTTCTGTCATCACCTCTACAAACTCCATGTCTGAGGGGGTGCAAGAGTCAAGGAAATTACACAATTGAAAGGTAAGGACATTATTATTATTATTATTATAGGCTTTTCCGCGTTGGCATCGCCAAGCAAGCTTGGCTAGCCTTCGCATAAGCTGCTCCATAATGATGAGACGAAACAATGAATGTATGTATACACGATCTAGGACAGAACCAAGGTTGAGGATATGTTTGAAGAAAGCTGCAAGTTGTGTTGAGGAACACAAAGTTGCAAACTCTACGAAAGTAAACTGCAAGAAATGTTTTGGGGTTGATCTCATGATTATTGTAGTCACAGGTTGTGTTAGTAGCATTCAAGGTTGTGTTTTCACAGGTATATTGTTTACATTCCTATTCTTTTACAGGATAATATTTTCACAAAATATGTTAGTCAATGAGTTATGTTATGGTACACCGTACGGCCATGCAGCTGCCACAGGTGGAAGCAGTATTATTAGGCTTTGATGTATGCTTTTATCACATTGCTGCATAGGTCTTTCCAGTCTTGTCGTGACTGGGAGATGGCATGGAGGTTCTCAAGTTCCTCGCGTTTCTTGAGCGACCCCCCGATACGCTGCAGGTCCTGGTGCAGACTCAGTGGCAGAGTGGTACGTGGCCGGCCCCGCCAGGTGGCAGCGGAACTTGGGTTTTCGAAGTATGCTGCCATCATAACGCGTGCTGGTACATCGTCGTTTAGTCTCAGGACATGGCCAAAGAGCCGCCACCTCGCTCTCACAATGGTTTCCCCAAGGGGCTGGGAGTTGGTGCGTTTATACAGCTCGCTATTTTTGATGACTTGAGGGTACTTGATCCCGACGACTGTTCTCAATTGACGTCTGTGGAATGCTTCCAATCGCTTGATGACATTGCTTGGGACTCCCCATGTTGAGCAATTGTACAGAAGTATTGGTGTGATAAATGCATTGTATAGCTTGACACGTCTGTTCTCTCTCACCTGCGAGCCTCTCACCCACAGTGCCCAAAGCCGTTGAAACGCACCTGTGGCCAGCTGCATACGCCGAGATACATCTTCCCTGTCACCCAGTAGCGATCCCAGCTTCCGGGTCAGCCTCCATTCTTCTGCAATGCAGTCGCTGAACCTCTCGATATGGGTGAATTCTGTCTTGGCGGAGTTAACTGTCAAATCCCATTGCTTTAAGGTGTCCCCAATAACAGGGAGGCATGATTGGAGGTCAGCTCCCCTAGATGACAGAAAGTCAACATCATCAGCATATGATGTGTCAGTTGGGAGGTGCAGGTCGATGTCGAGTTGTGGCCGGATCGGTAAGATATTTCGCACGTCCCGCAGGGCCGCTTCTAGATACACGATGAATAGCACAGGAGATAATGAGTCCCCCTGTGGGGTGCCTCTGTCGGTTTTGAACTTAATGCCATCCGTTCCCGGCAATCGAACCTGCAAGGTGGTGTGCTGCAGAAGATATGAAATCAGTGTAACGTCGTCGTTGTCAAGGAATGACGCAAGAACACTGATCAGTTTCGGACGCGAGATGGTATCGAATGCTTTCGACATGTCGATACCGATAATGTCATACTTCTGTTGTAGGCGTTGGCATCGGGCTATAGCCCAACGGTAAGACCATATTACGTCCGAGGTGCTTCTGTTAGGCCTGAAACCGCTCTGGGTGGGAGATAAGTATTTATGTATTTTTCTGCTTACGCGGGACAATGCCACAAGTGACAACACCTTGCGCAACACCGTCAACAGTACTATTGGTCGCAGGTTTGATGGGGGCCCCCTGGCCTTGTCAGGTTTTTGTAGCGGGATAAGAGTCCCGTCGCCAATACAGAGTGGCTCATTGTTGGAAATAGCGGCATTGTATATCCGAGCTAGAGCATGGTGAAGAGGGGCAGGCCCGTACTTGATAAGTTCGCCTGCCATGTTGTCTGGCCCGGTCGCACGGCCGTTGTTAAGGCGCCTTGCTGCTGATGTGATTTCCTGCTGTGTGATTTCTTTTGCAAATTTTTCTGTATTTTTTGTTTGGATGGTAGTGTTAGGCTGAGTGAACATTTCTTGGAAATGACTCGTGATTCCGCCAACTATGTCTTGAGGGTTCAAAAGCCGTCGTCCTTTGGCATCATTTATCGTGATGGGTTGTTGTTTCTTTCGTTGGAGCAGGTGCACAGCTTTGAACATGCGCGCGTCATCTTTCTGGTTCTCAATTTCCGCCACCTTACCGTCCAATAATCTGCTTGCATTGTCTCTGGCTTGCCTGCGAACTTGATGAGATAGCTGGTTTTTGTGGAGTTTCAGACGTGCTGCTACTGCTGCATCAGGGGTATTCATCAGTTGAAGCCGGATTTTCCGCTTTTCTTGAACCATAGCCGTCAGCTGTGGGTCAGGTATCCATTTTCCTTTTGGCGGTCTTGTTGATGCTCCCAGGGTAGCGCTGGCCACTTCCATCACAGTCGTATGTACCTGATCCCATAGCTCCTGAGGGGCTAGCTTTGTTTCTGGCTTGCAGCTGCAGTGTTGGGTAATATCATTTTCCAGAGCGGACTGATATTCCTTCCGTATGCGTGGATCGGACAGCCTATCCACAGCAATTTTCATGCCTACTCGCTGTTTCTTAGCGTGCTCTATTGGGCCCCACACACCACGCAACCGGTCCAGCTTCATTCGTGCCACAAGCAATCGGTGGTCCGAGTCCAGCAGGGTTCCAGCGTAAGATCTGGCATCTGTGAAGAGCTGGCGCTGACGAGTGGAACACAAGATATAGTCTATTTGATTATAGATGGGAATGGGGGCTCCGCCACTTGAATTATTCTTTCTCCATCCTGTCCATGTTGTGCAGTGCCGTGCTGGGTGCTGAAAAGCTGTGCTGCAGGCGAATAGGGAAGCTGAGTCACAATAGTCAGCAAGGACCTTGCCAGAGTAATTCTGTCGTCCTCTTCCGTATCGCCCAATGCATTGATGGAGTGATTTATTTTGTGTTCCGAGCTTGGCATTGAAGTCACCGAGTACGAGGAAGATAGATGAAGATTTTACCTTGGCAACTGCAGCGTTGAGTGAGGAGTAGAAGTCGTCTAGGCAGTCTTGGTCCTGCGCAACTCTAGTCGACGTCGGCGCGTACACGCTGACGAGCGACAATAGTTTATTTTTTGACAGTCGAATTTGCAGAACGGCAACTCTATCCGACTCGCTCCAGATTCGATACACTCTATCGAGGAGCGAGTGGTGTATAGCAAAGCCGTTTCCATAATGTCGGCAAGTCGAGGAGAGGCACACAATCCTGTAGTCGCCGTGAACTCCGTCGTAGCCGTCTTGAATTTTCGTTTCTTGCAGAGAACAAATTTGAATTTTATAGCAACGCAGGTCCTCGGCCAGCAGTTGCTTTTTCGTGTTGGACGATAGACCACGAACATTGAACGAACTTACACTAAAAAAAAAAAGGTAAGGACATACTGCACGTATATGGACGCGACACAGACGTCTTGCAAGTTGTTTTAAAACTACACGCTAACAAAACAAATATCTCGATGACTACAGAGTACAGTGCCACGCAAGTGAATTCTGTAACATGAAGCAGGTAGCGTCGAGCACTGCAACAGCCCAGACCTGTGAGCACTGCAACAGCCCAGACCTGTGAGCACTGCAACAGCCCAGACCTGTGAGCACTGGGCTGTGCACTGCTGCCAAGTGCTAACGTTACGTTGCTCACGAGCAGAGACATTATTGAGTAGCAGTGTAGCTATAGTTGGAACTTCATATTGATTTACTTGTATTTTTTTTACAACACATTCCTATGCCATCGCAGGCTCACAAGCGGACTTTGCAGCTCAACCATGCCACTATAAAAGATTCACACTGACATGAATCCGCAACCCCAAGAAAAAGGCCCTGCAGAATACATGTCTCTAACTTAAACTCAAATGTATCTATGCGCTAGTCAAAAGGCAGTGCATGTAGACAAGTCAGAGAAGGATACAGCTCTCTTCACCACCGGTTCCAGCTTTGGGAGGTCCTGGCAAGTTGACAACAACCAGCTGAGCTTTGTGCGAGCGATGGACGACAATCTCATTCAGCTTGACGGCAGTGTTCATGCGACGGACATTGTCCAAACCCCTGTCCACATACACACACGCACACACAAACACATACGCATACACAGAGTGAGGCAGTGCTAAATGAGTGCAGTGCAATACTAACAGTTAAAGAGCAAGGCAATCGCTCGAGTAGAAATTTCATTAAGTTGAGGTCTATTGCCTGTAGACCCCTTTTCAGGTCAATGTCTCAAGTGAGGCTGCTGTTAGGGGACAATGCAACATTCCATGTATTCCATGTAGAATGAACACATTCGTGGCATCGCCACCACCACCACCAGTACCACCACCACCACCAGTACCACCACCACCAGTACCACCACTACGACCATGCATCAAACAAACATACAAACAGTTTCCATCTGAAGGGTCTGCATACTAAACAACAAAGAATGTGACTTTGCTGTTCTGCCGTTGCTGTTGGTGCAGTTGTCATGTATAAAGTATAACGGACACTTGTGTGACTACTAGCAACTGACTACTTATACCACCGTATTGGTTCCGACAGTGTTCACACAGCACAGCCGGACTTACGGCGCAGGCATTTGCAATGAGTCGGGGCGCGACTGGAACGACGGCAAGGAGAGCTGCCCACTGCTGGGCTGTCGTGTGGCCGGGTCCAACGCAGGACCAGGCTCATGGGGTGCACCACGACCATGAGCGGAGTCGACAATGTGATTCACCTACGGGCAGCCAAACACCAGCAGTGATTGAAGGAGTGGGAGGTGAGAGAAATCAATACAGAGGAGACAGTGAGAGCACAGAAAAGAGAGAAACACACCATCAAACATCTACTTTTTGTATAGAATCAGAAGGGAAAACCCTCTTTTCGCCCAGTTTTTACCAACTTGTTAGCACTTTTGGCCATTTTGCCTGCTTTGTGCTGCACTGGCGTGTGGGATTTGGCACTCGGAGCTAGCCCAAACCAGTTTTTAGAGAAAAATGCCACAGCTACCTGTTTTGCAGTACCCGCTCGCATACATACATAAACAATAGAATCCAGGTTTATGTGCCGATGGTCTACTTCGAAAACCAGGCTTCTAGACGAGACGGGCTTTTACTCAAGTGCAGAGGAATTTGTGGAAGAAAATACATGTACAAGTAGATAAACAAATACTTACATCACGCTTCTGCTCTTTCTTGGACAGATTGAGGTCTTTGACCATGCGCTGTCGTTCTTCCATCACTAATGTCCGCTCATACGTGTAGGCAGTGATATCACTGTCCAACTGGAATATTTAAAAAACCACATACACACAAACATAAACACACACACACACACACGAACATGAACACACAGACAAAACACGGAGCACGCATGTGAAGACACTCGTAAACAAACACACACTCCCACATCCATGGATAGACTTCGGAGCAACACTCGGCACTTTGCTCTGGAAATAGAAACTCTTGTCTATCTTCCTACATCTCATGGGAGATGGGCAGAGGTAGAACGTATTCCTACATCTCATGGGAGATGGGCAGAGGTAGAACGTATTCCTACATCTCATGGGAAATGGGCAGAGGTAGAACGTATTCCTACATCTCATGGGAGATGGGCAGAGGTAGAATGTATTCCTACATCTCATGGGAGATGGGCAGAGGTAGAACGTATTCCTACATCTCATGGGAGATGGGCAGAGGTAGAACGTATTCCTACATCTCATGGGAGATGGGCAGAGGTAGAACGTATTCCTACATCTCATGGGAGATGGGCAGAGGTAGAACGTATTCCTACATCTCATGGGAGATGGGCAGAGGTAGAACGTATTCCTACATCTCATGGGAGATGGGCAGAGGTAGAACGTATTCCTACATCTCATGGGAGATGGGCAGAGGTAGAACGTATTACGACGTGTACACTCACCATCTCAACAACTTCAACCTCGGCTTCGATTCTCAATTGATAGAGGAAGCTCTCCAGGTCACGCCGCATCTGAAGACTGTTGTCCTCCATCTGTGCGACGGTGAATATGCGTAGCTTGCAGGCTCGCCAGACCTTGTGCTGGCGCAGCAGGAATGGCAGCAGCATGAGCAGCCCGCCGTCGTGCACCACCCACCAGATGTCAATGTGGCCGGTGACGCGGTCGACGTTGCTGGGGAAGTGATCGTGTCCCTTCATCACCAGCATGGCGTGGTGAGCTGCCGACACCACACGGATGATTTCTACACGCATACACAGAGCAGTGGACAAGCACAGACAGCAGCCAACACAAAGCCTGATCAGTGGAGGAGAAACAACAATATCAGCTACAGTTGTTGATAGAAACACAAACAACCACAACCAACGGACACCGATTCGTTTTGACAGAAACGTTTTTCTCCAGAATTCATCAGCGACTACTTCTGGTAGATGATACGAGAGAAAGAAAGAAGCAGCTCATGGAAGCAGAAAATAAAACTACTACAGGTCACCAAAGCAGAGTAAGGCGAGAGCCAGCTACAGTAAAAAAAGAAGAAAAAAGAAAAGAAAAGACACTAGTACAACGGCAATGGGAGCAGATGGAACAGCGAGGCTAACTCACGGACAAACGTCTTCCAGGTGCCCTTGGTCTTCCACGAGTTTGGCCATGAGAGCATCACGGTGTTGTGAGTCATACCACCCAGGCCACTGTTCTGGACTAGATAGGACAGGCCCTGCGTGATGTCAGGAGAGGAAATCACCTGACTGAACGCCTTCATCTTCTCCTCGCGGATTGCGCGCTTCAATGACTGCACACGTCACACAGAATGAACAAAGCCAAAAAAAGACTCAAACAGCGTTTCTTGTCCATTTCAATAAAGAATTTTTGAGACACAACTAAAACAGGTGCAATGCATGCTGTACACAACTGTTAACCTTAAGATCGCACAACTTCGAGCTACAGTTAAACCTCATCCAATTCCCTAAACTTCCAAAAGTGAAATGAGGTCACACATGTGACCACTTAAGATCATAAATGTAAAACAGGCAAACGTTTAGCCTAACCAGTTTAGCAGCGGTGACTTCACCATAGCTCTCCACGAAGTTGCCTTCAATGACGGAGCTGACCAGTGACAGACCCTTTCCTGTAGATAAAGCAGCAGAGAGAAAGTGAACGGGATGACTTAGAAAGGATATAGACACAGAGATAGAAAACCCAATCAGGCCACAAACAAGTGTCAATGGGTGTTATGTGGCATTGCCTATTTTCATGGAAGCACCACATACGTGTACTGCGAAAACCAAAAAATGTTTAGACACAATTACAATAGACTAATTGCCAATTTGTACGTGGTACACGTTGCACATCCCGTACAGTTGGGAAGGATGCTTTTCTGCAGTGAACCATCTGATAACGTGGTGTATGCAGTGTCCCCATCGGAGTCTGAAAACACAGGAAGTATCATATGTGGTATCAGAGGCCAGCACTTCAAACGATATAGAGGGCATGTGTTACGCGAGTGCCAGCATATACATTTACAACTTACCAATCTTCATTTGCGAAGCGAAAGATAGCAGATTGCGATCAGCTGGCAGAAGGTCAGCTTCGAGGCGCGTCAAAACCAGAAGCTGCGGTCTTTTGTAACAAGAAAGAACAGGCAAAGAAGAAGGAGGTTTAATTATTTTAGCTCACACGTGGAGCATTCGTAGTGAAGTAAAATTTAGGGAGTCTTATATGACTTCATCACAAGTGTGACCGAGAAAGAACTTGCTGTAAACACTTCAGATTCCGCCAGGCAGTTAGGGCGACTGGGGATGCCACTGACTACTGTATACCTCTTTACCACACTGCACAGTCCATCTGAATAACGTCCTAGGTCATGCTGCACTCTGCTGTACTGCACACAATAACAGGGTATGTTGAAGAGCACAAAAGCTTATAAACATTCATATTTTTAGAGACTAACTGTTAGCACAGACAGCACGGTGACGAGATCCTACACAGAGTAGGTACAATAGGCAGCATGCTACAATGCGTACCTCCAGTTCTTGGTATGCGGCGGGCCGTCCTCGAGACGCAGTAGTGCAAAGCGAGCGGCCTGAAGCGACAGACCGCGGATGCCATCTCCCCATTCCTTCTCGGCCCTGTGCAATGGAAGACATTCACAAATCACTGTGTCAGTACCATGAAAGGGAATGTGATCTGAATGTTAGTACCACAGCACATACATTGCACATGCATGACATTAGACAGGTTCCGCATAACGTAATTACGTTAGTAAAAAACGTAGTCCATCTACGGAAAGTCTTTACGTAAACTGCATGCGCATCTGTGTTCCGCCATACGGAGTTTTCAAATCACGTAGCTGCCCTTGGCAACTCCGAACGCGGCAGTGTACGACCAGATCGAGCTGGGGAGAGAGTCATAAATGTGTACCCCAATCCACTTACGGACCAGCTACGTTATCAGAGCCCTATCTACGTACTCTACGTAGACAACTTCCGTAAGTGGAGTGCAAACTCGCGAATTCACGGGTTTTTCCGCCCACTAACGTAAAGTTGCTTAACTTTACGTAGTGCGGAACCTCTCTAATGACACTATGCTGAAGTGAGAATGGAAGACCAGTGCTGTAAGAGCAATACAGTGGCAATACCTGGTCAAGGAAGAATCAGAGTTGGACGGCAAATGTCGCCGGTGAGCAAATACAAACATGCAAATGCACACCCATCCACAGGCATACATGCACTCTCCATACATTTCAAACCAGCAGAAAGCAGTGCCCCCCCCCCCCCCCCCCCCCCCCCCCACGAAGCACAAGCACAAGCCAGCAGAGGAACACACACACTAAGTACTTACCCTCTGAACTCAATGTACTTGTAGATGACGACAGCCACAACAAACGCGGCCAGAGCATAGTACCAGCTCGAGATGAACATGAGCACAACGCACAGGCACACACCAGCGAATGATGCCGCCCTGTACAAACAGTCCATATGCACACCACACACCACGTGCACACACAGAAAAAGAAACGGTGAACGTCTGAGACAGAATCAAAGCGGCCTGGTCAACAGTCATGCATATATCGTTGAAATTGACCGCAGTATGATTTGTGCAGTCATACCTACATATAGATCTAAAGTTGCTCAGCCAGCACACCACAGTGAGCAAGGGATGAGCACCAACAAGACATGCGCACACACGGACGATACTACTGTAGCGGACATGGAAATCCAGTCGATTGACCGGGGCTGACGCTCGCAGCGCGTACAGAACGATACGTGCAGTGCACATGTTGATCCGATGCGACCAGCGCGCTGCAGCGCATAAATGCATGTGTGTACCGCTTATCCACGGCTAGCTGCATGGCCAGCGCCTTGGGGCCGCTAGATGTGTGACTGGATTTCCATGTTCACAACAGTAGGAACAGGCAGCAACAAATGCAGTGGCAACAACAACACCAGCACCAGGACTAACCAGTGATAGTAGCGGAAGCGAGGGCGCCAGTTGGGAGCTTTCAACAGCGACTGCAGTGTGCAGGCCAGGTTGACAAAAGCGTAGCACATCAGAAAGAACCTGGCCGGGAAACACACACACAAGGTGACAACAACACCAACTCAGCCAGATGTTCTTGTACGTGCATGGTCAAGATAACCCGAACACTGCCGAATAGTGCACTGAGTGGGTGGAGAGAGCACACACCACAATAGAACATATGATTCCATAGATACAAAAAGATGCGCAACACAAAGACAGGGTTATTATGTCACATCCAAGCAGGAAGGCACGCCCCCCCCCCCCCCCTTCCACCCACCCACCCATACACACTTACATGGTAATGATAGGAGCGACCTTATCCAGGCTGGCAATGAGGATACCAACTTCAGAAAGCAGGCCAGTCAGGATCAAGGCACGCGTCGGCTCACCGCTCTTCGATGCCACACCAAACACACTGAGAACGGGAATCAGGTTGTCACGAGCAATGGCTTGCAACAGACGAGGGGCACTGCAACACAAGCAAACAAACAAACACCTGAAGATTGAAGTGTGCACGAGCAGATGGGAAAACAAGGAATGCCTATAATTTAGTCCGACCATACATGTATTTGGATTTCAAAGTAAAGAAGACGGTTTCATACCTAATCAAGGTTCTTACCCAGTTAAGCTCTGAAGACCAGCACCGACAGTGGAGAGGAAGGAGCCGATCAGAATGACCCAGGGTGTGGGCCAAGCCAGCTCCGCCACCACTAACCCTCCACCTATACTTTCACCAAATCTGTGCACCGACAACATCCACAGCAGTAGAAGCAACACTCAGTCATAGGGATGCCCATGCGCATGAACATGTACAGTAGCTCAGCATACCCTGTGCAGGACCCCATTGCCTCTCCTTCCACTCAAAGTAACACCGCTCAGTGCCAACAATAATTATAGAAACGGCTTCACCACAGTTGGTCATGTCCCACTACCCAGAGTATACCAATCAAACTGCACACACACACACACACACACACACACACACACACACACACACACACACACACACACACACACACACACACACACACACACACACACACACACACACACACACACACACACACACACACACTACTTGTAAGTATAAACAATGGGTAAAACAGGAAAAAATATGCTGAACAGTCTCTACCCAACACAAGCTGGCAGAAAAAGGGATTAATGACACCAGACAAGAGGAGAGCGATGGGAAAGAGAGAGAGAGAGAGAGAGAGAGAGAGAGAGAAAGAGAGAGAGAGAAAGATAGAGAGACTAGCATCCATGAGCACAACATCATTACACCAAACACCAAAACTACACACAGCCAAGTCAGACAGGAGCTCCCAACTGTACAGCATCCTTCAACAACATCAGTACGTACTTGTCACGAAGAAGAACACCATCGATGGTTGCGCCGAAAAACAGCACACAGGTGAGGTAGATCATGGAGGTGGTCAAGATAGCGCCAATCGTTCCCTTGGGAATAGACAGCTGAGCATCCTTCAGATCACCGGAACGATTTGATCCTGCCATGATACCTGGTGGGGACGGGCAGAAAAAAAGCAAGCACACAGCGAGATTGTCTACATATGTCACCCCACACAGTCGGCCAGCAGAGCAAGAAACGACAAGCTGTACATATCCCATCACACACACAAAGGCATGTACCCTATGCCCTTTTACATATTATCTTGACTTTTCTTTCTCAACCCCCCCCCCCCCCCCCCCTCTCCACTTTGCTATCCGCCCTCCTAAGAGTTGTGTTCATCACTGTTGAGGTTTCTGATGGAAAAAAAGAAAAAGAACAAATGAATACACAACAGAAGTCTTACCAGTGACCGACGGAAAGAAGATGGCTAGCAGTACAGTGAAGGTGGTGGTGATATCTTGTGCGGCCTGTGCAGGTGATGCAGCCACACCCGGACGAGCTTCTCCACTAGACATGAACGATCCACCGCCATTGTCTGAGAAACAACAAGAAAACGAGAAAAAAACCGGAGCAATATAGATGGGCCACGAGGTACCAACAGGCACCCGGATATGAAAACAGGGGAAGACCCAACACAAATGGACATATACAATCTCTGAAACTCTCCTCACCCATCATATGTGGCCCCGCACCCCATCCTTGCTATCAATTGTGCAACAACTCTGGAATCACCTTCAAGTTGTGTGCATATACACTTAGTCGGGAACAACGCACAGCCCAGTCAAAACAGCATACCCGGTACTCCACCCAGGCCAGAGACCGTCTGGTTGGTAGAACAATGCGGATGAGGGAAGTTGGAGTGTATTATTTGAGAAAGTAATCAAAGGCAGTAAGAAACACTTGCAATATGATCAAGAGGTGTACCCCTCCACAAGCCTAACACACATATCACACGCCCCCCCCCCCCCCCCACCCACACACCTGCACACACGCCCACACCCACCCACCCACACACACCATATAAATGCAGTCTTACACCTAGCAAGACCATATCAAAAAGAACGCACGTTCAACAATGACGCACGCTACATTCGGTAGTGAATCCGTCTCCTTACCTGAGAAGACACCGCCCTTTAGGCCTGGAATTCCGTTCTTGAGGCGGAACGTATTATTGAATTGCATCTTGAGCAAGCCGTTGTCGTTCAGATAAAACGGATTAGTGAATGGCGGGGCAGATGCATTGTCCTCCAGCATAGCATTCATCATGTCAAAGCTGCATGGGTAGTCATCCTTTATTGCAGTGCCGTTGAAGGAACAAAACCTGATACAATACAGTAGGGAAAGTAATGAGACGGGAGAATGAGGCAGGCAGATGAAAAGAAAGGGAGAAATCGAACGACATGGACGAGAGAGAGAGAGAGATAGAGAGAGCGTGCGTGTGTGTGTGTGTGTGTGTGTGTGTGTGTGTGTGTGTGTGTGTGTGTGTGTGTGTGTGTGTGTGTGTGTGTGTGTGTGTGTGTGTGTGTGTGGTGTATGTGTGTGTGTCTTGAACAAAATAATCAGTACCTGATAGATGTTCCATCATCACATACAGATACTGCATATTGCCAGGCATAACACCTTGTCGTCTAATGACAGTAAAGGCTACATTTACATGAGAGGTTTTGTCCGGGTTGAAAAAGCAGAGGTGTTTACATGAAGAAGGTTGCCCTGATAAGATTACGAATGCACCAACAAAAGTTCGCTTGTGGAGTCTTGCATGGCCGTGGGACTAAATCAGTGGGTTATTTGAGCACACAATGATGTGTAGTCGTACCATCAAGTAAGCACGTACACTCATACCTCGGCTATCCGAACCCTGAAGCAACGGACACTTCGGTCTACCGGGCACTCTTTGGGCGAGTTCCACTGGAAATATTACTCCTCTTTTGGCACTTTTCGTGTATACGCCCGTCGCAAGAGAAGCACGCAAATCTGCAAATGCACTGGATGTGCACCCACCCACACCCACCCACACACACACACTTATGTGCACAGGCATGCACATGAAAACAAACTATACTTACGGCGTGCCGCCTTTGTGGAATGGAGACGCAAATATTCCAATGTAAATAGCAAAGATGGACAGCAAGACCACCATAAGGAACACCATAGCAGAGTAGTTCACCTGAAAATACCAGATCACACAACAAAAACACATCGTCAAGAGAATTTATATGCCAATCCTTACAACAACAAAAAGCGTTTTGAAACATCATAATCACCATCCCTCCTAACACGGGGTCAGTTGATGAAGCAGAAATAGCACTGGCGCCGTACTAGTACATGTACACACCCAGCCACCTCCCCACACACCCACACGTGCACACGCACACACACACCATGTACCACCCCCCCCCCCCCCACACACACACACCATGTACCACCCCCCCCCCCCCCCACCCACACACCATGTACCACCCACACACACCATGTACCACCCCCTCCCCCCCCCCCCCCCCCCACACACACACACCATGTACCACCCACACACCATGTACCACCCCCACACACCATGTACCACCCCCACCCCCACCCCCCCCCCCCCCCCACACACACCCACATCTGCAATACAAAGAAGTTACTATTCCGCTGTACTCACATATTTGACGCCAACAAAGACGACGAAGGCGAGGAGGATCAGAATTAGCGTTCCATAAATACGGTAGTTGTTCAGGTCCACACTAGCACCCTCGGTGGCACTACCTTTCACGATAGTCATAGACGGTGCTATGTAAGTCTGAACGGGTGAGGGGTAATGCACAAACACACAATCACATGCCATTCAGTCATGCAGGAAAAGGAGATCAGGAACAATAAAAACAGAAAAGGCGAGAGTTTTTGAGGCAAAACATGTCAACAGCGATTTTGGAGACGCCTACTTTATGACTGCAATGAAAAGAACGAATTGTGGTGTCATATTCACACAATGTTTGTGCACTGATTAC